CTGTTTTCTTGTATTTCTGATTGTGAAGTTATTTGTTCAAGGGGGGATGTAGACAGAGGTGCTTGTCACCTGTTTATCCCTTCCTTTTCGCTGCTGTCCATTGCATTTTTTTTTATTGCATTCGTGTCTTTGTGCAGTGATGTAGCGTAATAAATAAATGAATATAATACCTCCATGGTTGATGTCAGCAAATCAAGACTAGATTCTAATCTACTAAGTATTTTGTTGAGGATATTACTTTGTTTCTTCAAAAAAATAAAAACACGTGTATGAACGTATATACACACATACATAATGTCAATTGAAATGTTGAATGTAGCTTTTCACACTGAAAGACTGGATTAGAAAGCTAAGAAAGCAATACATACCTTCCTCCATAACCTCTCTTGTAATGTTCTGGTACATAATGGGGCTAGATAAAATGAAAACAATTATGTTAGACATTACAAATGAATTTTATATTTACACTGTTTAATAAATATATAAGCTTGACCTTATGGCTCATTTGGGAGAGGAAAAAAAAAATAAAAGTGTACATATTCATCAGAAATCAAACCTAAAGTGTAAATACAAATATATACACATTTGAATAGCTTCGTCTGGTTTGCTAATATTACATGACTGTAGAACTGTTTCATCGATAATAAACCAAGTGCTTGGTTTATAACTGACAAAACAGTTCTGTATACAAATCAATACAGTATTACATAAATCATGTTCTATACTATTAATCTTTATTATTGAAATACAACACCACATGTATATAAAAATATTTACGAAAATCTGTACAAACAGTTATAGATATAATATTATCATAATATAACAGGAAGTGAACAACTGTCTTACAGAATAGTCCCTCTTAGGAATAATTTTCTTGTCAAATTTGTTGAACGCGTAGGATTTTGTACAAATTGGGAACTTGTTCTTGCTAATTGGGTGAAACAAATGAGCTGTTTTATCCAACCGGTATTCACAGATGTAAATATCTTCCTCCTTGAAGTTCTTCGGTCGACCTGAAAAAACAAAATGAAACACTCGGATATGAGTATGAAGTAAAATTGATGGATGGATGTCTGGGACCTTACTTCTACTTCTGAAAAACATAAATTGTAACTTTATACCTTTGCAATATGTGTACAGATCCATTACACAGCAGAATCCAATTATAAGATCCAGTCGGATAATTTCATAAAAGGGACCACGGAAAAGCTGTGGAATAGAAAAATTTGGTTAGCTCAGTAGTAAGTGTTCCCTTACAAAACACCACCCCTACAAATTGATACAAAAGGATGCTAAACAATATGCTTAACAGACCTATCCCAGATGGGCACTTGACACTGCTAATAGAAGATTGCTCTGGTGTTTATAGGATACTTGCAGAACTCATATCCTAACAGTGATGGCAGCTGGGGTAGAAAATCCTTAGGTCATACAATCTCATAATTATTTAGCTCCTATTTTGTAGACAAGTGTTCTACAACTAAATTTTTAAATAATGGATAGTTGTATCAGGTCCATAACAAAGTCTACCACCTTTCTCTCAACTTCATATCAATGGAGAAACAAATATTGGTGATGGCAATCAATGTGCTCTTACAGTACCTCATTCTGGAAGAACTTCCTTGATGGAGTATGATGTGTCTCATGTGGACGAAGGAAGTGGTGGCCAAATGCAAACCTTTCACCCCTGCAGAAGAAGCAATCAATAACAAAACACATTGAGAATGTATTTAGTAAAATCAAATGCTTAATGTATGTGCCCTCTCACCGGGAAGAGCAGAAAGTTAAGAAGATTAATTAATTTGTCTTTATTGAACTTTCACAGTGTTGTGCTTGTACAGAAAATGTTTACATTTTATTGTGGCTTTCTTTATGTAAAAGTTTTCAGTTGACCTACTTTAGTTAAGAAAGTATAATACACACTTCAAGTATTCAAATGCACGCCATCGTGTTGGGATTCAATATTTCGATATTAATTATGTCATCATTAGGAATTCCTATTTTAGTTAGTTACTGCAATGTTCAAATATTTTAAAACAAACATTTAGCCAATGACTTTCTAGCAATTTAAATAATTTGAAATGTTTTATATTAAATATCTGTAAAATAATTCTCAATTTACTTATCGTTTTTCCACAGCTGCTCAACCCTAAAAATAATGTGAGTGGAATGGCCGTTTGTGTTTGATGGCACAATGGTTGGTGTGTTGCTGCCCTCTTGTGTTCTTGGTAAGTAAGCACAATCACCTGATGAATAAACAGTATAATGTCATGTTTAAACTGCTGCTATAGAAAGAAAATAAATACAGCCATAATAAAAGAAAGGGCATCTATTATCTAGAATGTCAATTTTTTATTACTGTACTGTACATTGTGTATATTTTTTATGAAATAAATTAATTGTTTTTGTATCCAACTGGAGAAAATGACATGGGCATTGATCATAGAGAACACAGAGTGAAACCCCCACCCCAGCATTTCAAAGCAGGCTGCAAAACTTTGGTAAGAAAATTCCCTGTTCTGGTGCGGTCATCAGTCCGTACGGTCAAATTTGATTGGTGCCTGATGATTAGTCTAATAATAATTATACTTAATTGTTTTAGGCCCAAGGCTTTTCTAAGTGGTATATCCCTTTACAAGACGAACTTAAACACAAGATGCTGCAAAGAACCAAGTCTAATTTAGAGAGTGGAGTTGTCTTCTGTTGAATCCTGTTACTGTGACAGGCATTCAACCCAGGACCCTGGGATTGGGAGGCAAGCATGTTAACCACCAAGCTATTCAACTACACATAAGAGTGTTAATCACATATTACGCACCCATTTTAACTCGAGTTCCATCTTCTCTTGTTAAACATAGGTAATATGTCTGACCTGGTTGTGCATACTTAGGTTGTGGGGTCATCTTTATTTCCTCTGCCACTTCCCGTGGTTTACAAAGCTCACATATGTAATGATCCGGTTCTTTGTCGTAAGGCAATCCAATGCAGTCAAAGTGCTGCCATACCTGCAAGCAAACGTAAAATAGAGGGCGCTTTACACCCTGGTCACTAGAGAAATGTTATTCACACAAAATGTGCAACATCCGTTTCATGTTGAGTATTCCTTGTTATATATGTCATTCACATAGACCTACATTTTTGTAGCTGTTCAGAGAGTGACTCAACAGCAAAATGATTCTACTCTTCAGAAATCCCGCTACATGGAAGCACTATCTCATTATGAAACTTAGGGCCTGTTTCTGCTTAGCAAAAAACCATTTTTTTTTAAAACAGTTATTAAAAAACACGTTTTTTTCCCCTGTAGAAACGTGCCACAACACAAAAACACGGTATAGGAATGCGTTTTAAAAATGCATGCTTTTACACGCATTCGTTCAGAAAACATGTGTTTTGTGGTACACTTTTCAGCTGCAACGCAATACCGTGTTAGTCATGACCCGTTGGTGACCCAAATTGACCTCTTCATTGGTTTAATCGCTCGTCCACAGGAAATTTGGGCCGAAGAAAAAAAAAGATCATACCATACTTTTTCATACTTTCGTGGTGTTTTGTTTACTTCTTTTGCAGCATGCTCGCAAGAAGTAAGGTCAATCTCAACTTCTGTTGGTGACCGTTATTTTAGCTCTGCCCACCTGCCAATGCTCACATTACCATGTTTTTATTAGTTGCATTTTTCACTAGAAATGCGTTCAGAAGAAATTTAACCGTTTATAAAAAACATGTATTTTTGGCGTTATTCAGCAGAAACACGCCCATAGGCAGTGAAATTGTTTTCTTGTTAAAAAATCCAAGTGTCTGACAGAAATTAAATCCATGACCCTTGGTTTACAAATTATGCAAATTAAGTTAAACTCTTGAGAGTACTGCCCACCCAAAGGACAATTACATTTACATTCCAATTAGACACCCAAGTACATCAATAAAGAGAACTATTTGGTAGGGGTGTAACACATACCATACATTTATCACACTGTATCATTAAACCTTCATCATTTAGTAAACCACAGAGACAGCGAATCACTTCTTCTTCTTCATCGTCTTTTGATGCTTTTTGCCCATCTGAAATTAAGAATTAAATGTTGTTTGTTATCACACTTGTAAGTTCTTGAATTCATGAAATCATTAAAAGAATTCTGAATTCACACATACAGTGAAATTGTGTTTGTATTTTGGTACCTTCTTTGCCTGTGGAGTCTGCAACAGATTTTGTTCCCATAATGCTCCTGATGTGTTTACTGTTCGTTGTCATGGCACTTGAATACACCTTAAATAGGTGGACAGCATCCCTACCAAGCTCAGACTTTTTGCCGTGGTACTTCTGCAATGAATAAATCACATGCTGTTATCAACAAATACTATAGTGTATATAAGGGCAAGTTTTACACATGTATAGAAATAGTACTAGAGGTAAACAGGTACTTTCAGTTTTTTATATACTGTGGGCAACTTCTACAGTCATTTATATGAAAATCTATTACAATAGGTGAAGGTGTTTTACTGTGGTAGTATGTATATAAATAAGTATTAAAGTGAATTATACTGTACATCCATTAGATAACAACAAGAAAATATCGTTTGATGTGTTGCCAACATAACGTGTACGCACTACACGGCTATTATAGTATTGTAAACAATGTACTATGAAGTGTATAGTTGCATATACCACACTCCTCCTAAATATTATTTTATGCCTTTTTATGCATTGTGAATAACGTAATGTTAATTAAACTTGAGCGTTAATTGCTGCACTTTGTGTCTATTTTTACGTATCAATTTCGTATTAAACTTCAAAATCTGTTAAACATTAACATTCATTCAACATTTCAAATGATTATTATAAACCTTTAACATTGTTAATTAAATTCAATTCAGATCATTCTTATTTGTTACATCATATTAATTAATAATTAATTAATTAGCATCATTGTTGCATGTAATATATTAACGATAACTCATAGTGTCCTTTTTAAAAACATTGACGTCCATAAACAACATTGTTCATATCTCAACAAAGTCTACATCGATTCGATAAGACATTCATCCTGATGGTCTTGAAATTATCATAGGTGTTGGTGGTGAAGAAGACAATTCGCATTCCTTTTGGACTGGTACACTTTGGTCATTGTTTTGGTCTTCTCCAACTCACTCTTTAGTCGCTTGGCTCAATTTCGCTTCACTCAACGTTGCTTCGTTTGACACTGATTCGCTCAAAGTCGTTGGTTCTTCCGTATCAGTCTTGTGTTGGTTCTTCCGTATCAGTCTTGTGTGGATTTTCTAACTTTGATTCGCTTTGGTACATCAACATTTTATTAGCGTATGCATCCGCATCCACCACTTAGCTGGTTAATGTGCATTTTCCACACACTACTGTCATCAAAGCTGATCAAATATGATTTGGTGCTGTATGTTGTGTACCTGACCACCACTTGAAATCTTTCACTAAAACTATCTAATTTGCATCCGTACATTTGCTCCCTGATAGGAAAAACTTCTTTTCTTATACTCAGTACTTTGTTTGGGTACCTTAAGTAAATCCTTCGACCTGTAGTCTAGTAGGAATGGGGGGGGGGTTCCCATGCACCCCCAGGATATATTTTTTTAACTAACATTTTTTTTAATCCTCAAAGTATCTGATGAACGAATTTTGATGTTCCCATCGAAAAAAATTGTCCCATTCATAGGCGTAGATCCCGGGGGATGGGGGGATATATCCCCCCCAATATTTGACAAGGGGGAATGGTCCATTGTATCATCCCCCCAATATTTTGACTATGTATGGGATAAAATGGAGCTTTACACACTTCAAAAGACTGTCACAGGAATAATTTGCACTGTCTTATGCGCTTTAACAAAGATGAAAATTTGCATAATGTATTAATGTTGATAAAATTATTTTATCTGGTACCAATCTAAGCTCTTCTTTCCTTAGATGTTAGATGTGCTTAACCTCGTAAAGAAACATTTTCCGAGTGGCAACATTTTGCACAAGCTGTTCAACAAGAACAATGTTAAAGTCAGCTATAGCTGCTCAAGAAACATGGGCAGTATAATCAGAGCCCACAACAAATA